AGAGATGGTCGGATCTTGGGACAGAGGCAAAGGCCTATAGTGAGCCATACCAAGAGTGGATAGCTGAAAAACAGACACTAGCTAAAGAGATCTCCACACTAGCAACAAAGCCTTTTCACTATAAATACCTAAAACCCCAGAACACATCCATCCACACCCACCCACCCCCACACACAAACCAGCCCCAAAACCAAAACCAAACCAAAACAAAACACAAAAAGAGAAACAAGGCAACAAAGTGCTTCTAAAAACTCCTAAGTCTCTGAAAGCTAATCACTATGGTGTTGAGAGAGAGGAAATCAAAAGCCACACAGCTGAATTATTCAAATGATGAAAGGGATTAAAATTCAGATCAATAACATGCTCAGTGAGCTCAAAAAAGATATAACTGAACAGATAATGGCCTTAATAAATAAATTGATAAGTGAGTTTATAGAAGATACTAATAAAACTTGATGAGCTAAGCAAAACAATACAATACATGAATGTACAGTGTTGCAAAGAATTTGAATTCATGAAGACACCAAACAGAAATCCGCAAGTTTAAGAACTATTAGCCAGGAGTGGTGGCGCACGCCTGTAATCCCAGCACTTGGGAGGCTGGGGCAGGAGGATCATTGTGAGTTCGAGACCAGCCTGGGCTACAAAGTGAGCTCAAGGTCAGCCTGAACTGCATAGTGGGACTCTGGTCTCAAAAAAAACAACAAAAAAAGAAAACCAAATAAAACTATTGAAAGTATGGGCAGCAGAAAGGACTAGTGTGAGGGGACAGTGTCAGAACTAGCAGATCGGGCTAATAACAGGGGCCAGTGACTCAGAGATACCTTAGAAGATCATGGAAAGTGGATCCAACACCTGGTAGTACACAAAGATTAACCTAAGATTAACTGGAATTAGTAAAAAATAAGAACAGCACAAAAGACATAAAAACCTGTTTATAGAAATCACAGCACGACTGGGATGGAGAAAAGGAGAAAAGAAGAGGAAAGAAAAAAAATACATACATACACACAAGAGAGCTAAGATAATTAAACTACTAATTTCTGTAAGTTTATTGAAAAGAATGAGTTGTACTTATATTGTTTAATTTTGCATACCTATATCTTGCAATCTGAGCAATTACTTTGAAGATAACAATAGGCAATATATTAACTATTGTTAATTTCCTACTATCTTGTTTTGAAATTGTGTATCACTGTTTTTCTCTCTTTAAAAAAAAAAGAAATCATAGCAATACTTTCCAACTACGAGGAAAGAATGAAACAGGTAAGTGATGCATATAGAACCCCAAATAACCAATTTGAAAAGAATTTTTTCATGAGACATCACCGTCAAAATCTCAGAAGTCCAACACAAGGACAGAATCTTCAAAGCTGTCAGAGAAAAGTAATGAATCTGTTATAAAGGTAAATCCATTAGAATTACAGCAGATTTTTAAATGTAAGCTTGAAAGGCCAGGCAAGAGAGCTTGGAGTGAAGTGTTTCAAGCCCTAAAAAGAAAATATCTTCCAACTCATACTGATATGTTGTGCAAGATTATCTTTCAAATATAAGGGAGAAAAATATATTTCTACAACAAAGAACATCTTAAGAAATTCATGACCATCAAACCAGCACTCCAAAAAATTCTCAAGGATATCCTAGAATGAGACAATGAACCCAATCATCCCAAAAGCCTAACTAACTACCCCAGGCAGGGTGAGCAGTTAAGCAGTTAGTAATTAACCTAACCAAAGAAGTGAAAGACCTCTACAATGAAAACTACAGTACTCTGAAAAATGAGATTGAAGAGGACATCAGAAAATGGAAAGATAATCCCAGTTCCTGGATAGGCAGAACCAGTAGTGCCCAAATAAACAGCCATACTTCCAAAACAGCTATACAGATTTAATGCAATCCCAATCAAAATACCAATAGCAGCCCTCACAGAACTAGAGAAAACTACTAGAAAGTCATATGGTACAAGAAGAGACCCAGAAGCAATGGCATGGCCAATGTATCTAAAGATGTACCTTGATTGAGTATATTATTTTATGGTTTTTGTTCTGTTTATGATCTATATTTATGATAATTAGCTTGTTGAAACTTATAAAATCAATCAATTAATCTAATGGTGACAGAAAGAAAAAAAGCAGGGGTGAAGGGAAAGGGGGAAGAAAGAATTCAAGTGTGTTATGTACATGTACCAATTCCCCACAATGACTGTAATTATCATGTACTGCGAACACGTACTCGTGACAATTTTTTAAAAGAAACAAAAATAAGTCAGGAACAGAACAGTGTTTCCAGAGCTTTGGGAAATGTGTGGGGGAGGAAGGGATGGAAAGAGTGTAGTTAATGGGTACACAGGGATGCAGATGAATAGGAGGAGTAACTTTTTAAAAAAAAATAGCATTGGGTATTGAGCCCAGGGGATCATGCATGCCAGGCAAGCCTTCTTCCACTGAGTCATACCCTGCCCCTTTTCAGTTTATTTTGAGACAGGGTCTCACAAACTTTACTGGCTAGCCTTGAACTTGTAATCCTCCTTCCTCAGCCTCTCAAGTAGCTGGGATTACAGATGTGCATCACTACATCCACTGGGAGGAATAACTTCTAATATTTTGTAGCACAGTAGGATAACTAGGTCTGACAAAAATGATTTCTAAATTGCTAGAGAACATTTTGAATGTTCCCAACACAAAGAAATGATACATATCTAAGGTGAGAGATAGTGCATTTACCTTGATTTGATCACTGTACACTGTACAAATGTATTGAAATGTCACACTCTAGAAATATGTAGTTACTATGTGTCAATTAAAATTAAAAATGTTTAAAGACAGCAAAACTATTTTTGAAATAAAAGATAACCTCACAGACAGGGTAAAATCTGAGAAGCACTAAAGAGAAAGAAATACTATCATTTGTGATAACGCAAACAAACCTGCAGGATATTATGTTAAGTGAAATAAGCCAGGCAGAGGACAAACACCACGTAACACATGCAGATCTAAAAAAGCTGAACTCAGCCTTGTTGTGTCACTTGCCTGGAGGCCTAACTAATGGGAGGCTGACCCAGGAGGATCAGCTGAGCCCAAAAGTTTGTGAAAAACTTGGAAAATATAGTGAGATCCTGTTGAAAACTGAACCGAACTGAACTGAACCAAACCAAATTTGATCCAAACAAAAAACTGGTAAATCTATAAAAGCTGAGCTCATAGATGCTGGCAGTAGAACAGTCATTACCAGAGGCTGGGGGATGCCGGGAGGGAAGGAAAGACGTTGGCCAAAGGATTCCTCCTACCAGGGCCCACCTCTTAGGTTCTACCACCCAACAGTGCCAGGGGCTGCAGACCAAGGTTTTAATACACAGGCCTTTTGGGGACACTTAGTCAAAGTACTGCACCACCAGTTCACCGTTCTAAGTAATACAGTGATGAAATCTTCATACAAACACCTAATGATTATTCCCTGGATTCCAAAACATCCTGGATCAAAGTGTGCATATAGATTTAAGGACTTTGATATATAATGGCTGTTTGTGTTCTAGAACTATGATGCCCAATTTGGTAACTACTAACCACTTGGTTATTTTTTTGTTTTTGTGTTGTCTTTTTGAGACAGGGTCTCGCTATGCAGTTCAGGCTGGCCTTGAGCTCACTTTGTAGCCCAGGCTGGTCTCGAACTTACAACGATCCTCCTGCCTCAGCCTCCCGAGTGCTGGGATTACAGGTGTGCGCCACCACACCTGGCTGGATTTTTTTTTTGGTACTGGAAATCGAACTCAGGACCTTGCACTTGCCAGGAAGACGCTTACACCACTGAGCAACATCCTGGCCCCTGAGCTACATCCCCAGCCCTATAAGTTTAAATGCAATTTTAAAAAATCAGTTCCTCTGCTGCCATGGGTACTAGCCTTAGTCCTCAACAGCCACACGGGGATCGGACAACACAGAGAGCATTTCCATCACTGCAAAAGGTTCTAGTGCTGCGATGGCCAACCTGTGGCACAGGTGCTGCAGTGGGCACACAGTGCCCTCACGGCCAGCAGGTGAGCCAAGTGGCTCAGCACTGCCCCAGCAGCCGAGCACTGGACGACAGTGCGCAAGCACACCAAATACAGACGTTCACCTTTCAATACAAAGCTTTGTATCATTGAAAGCTCTGTTGCTGTGTTTTTTTTGGTACCGGAAATAGAACTCGGAACCTTGCACTTGCTAGGCAGATGCTTGTGCTGCTGAGCTATATCCCTGGCCCCATTGCTGTGTTTTTAAGACAAAAGACATTAATGTAGGAGTTATTTTTTTCTAAACTAAAACCTCAGTATTCAGGTTTAATTGCAGTGTTGGCACTTTGTGATAAATAAGTGGGTATTGGGCTGCAGTTTGGGCACTCCGCCTCTGAAAGGTTTGCCATCACTGGTCTAGGGGATACTGCTATTTTAGAAAGCATAGTTTTTGTACCTCCACGATCAATCTATTCCTTCACCAGTAGTGAGTATCGTAATTTTAAACTTTCTTTGTTTGACAGGAAGTCTTGATTTCATTATTATTTCTTATTAGAATTTCTCATTTTGTTCATCTTTTTAGCAGCTGTGTATCACTCAGGAATTGTCTGATCTGCCAGTCTGGTATATTTCTTATAGCTCTAGACATGCCTAGCAGCTCTACAGGAACCATGCGTCACATTTTCATCTCCACGGCCGTACCTGACACAGCACATGATACCTCTGTGAAAACATGGCGGTCTCTTTCCAAATGATGTTGGCAACTGCCACACTCGGGTTTTCCACAGCTATTCTTCTTCAGGTATTCCAAATGACTGCTCCACTTTCTGCCTAACTAATTCTAGCTTAGTGAAGTTATGGTTCAAGCTGTCTTTCTGTCTTCCCACTTCGGCTCACACTGTCTCCTCTCCCCAGCCCTGTCCACTGCCACGGTGACCTGAGAATTGATACCCAATAAATAGTATTTAATGAAATGCCACACACTTGAAAAGGGCAGACAGGAAAAGCAAAGGAGCATCTCATTTTATTTTTAATGCAATATTTAGTGGTAATGGGTCAGTATAAAACGAGCTCTCCAACGAAAACATAGTCCTACAAAACACACTCTTGCTTTATTTCACAGTTTTGCCTTTCTTGAGTGACAACTGTGATAGAGAGAACCAAGTACTACTGAACTATAAATAATTTGTGAGGCACACGAGAAGCATGTTGTGGCCCCCTATCTTGCTATGCCTTCATCCCAAGCAGCAATAAAATAAACCCCACAGAGCCAGTTAGGGACGGGGAAGGTGTGAAGGGGTATTTTATTTATCCACAGGAAAAATAAAAGCTTAGGGTTCTTTTTTTTTTTAGCTTAGGGTTCTTGATGGTGTCCAGTATGTTTTTTTTTTTTTTTTTTTTTTTTTGGTCGTGTCCAGTATGTTTTTACGCTCCTCAATTTGCCTGGAGACCGTGTAGACACTTTCCCAGAGAGTGCCTACAGGTGTTCATATTTAGTTGAAAACAAACTGCCTTCAGGAGACAAAGTAGATTCAATGTTGGGTAAAAGCACCCTCACTTTCTTACACCCACAGTGAAGCAAAGATCGATCTAAGCTGAAATTGATCCAGAAAATGTATATGTAACAAGTATTTTCCTCCCTCCATGACAGGAAAAATGGACTGTCATTAAGATGGCAATGGAGAGGCAATAAAAGTTAGCATCTAGCGCCACTCTGTGCTGGCGTAGTCCAATGCGAGGCCTTTCCAAGGACTGGGAAGTCCTTCCTGAACAGGGATTGGCTCGTGAACTGCTTCTACCATTTGGACATCATAATCACAGCAGAAGTTATTTTGTAAGGGACTACAAAATAACAGAAGTAACTAGTATTTGACTGCGTTTTATAAATAAACCACTCTTTCTTCCCCTCTTCCCTCCTCCCCTCTCCATTCTTTCTTCCCATCTTTCTTTTTTGGTACTGGAGATTGAAACCAGGGCCTCTGCACTGAGCTACATCCCTAGCCTTTTTTATTCTGAGACAGGGTCTTGTAAGTTGTCGAGAACCATTCTAAATAACTGTTGGGGAAAATCATTTAAGAGGTAAATTGTGAGTACGGCTTGTCTGAGGCCTAGTGCCTTGCCCCGTGGCCGGCTGAGGTATGCAGGAACATAACCCCGTGTGCCTCCGGTCACAGACGAGGCCTCAGTGGTCTCGCGATGCTGTGGCGCCCCAGGGCAAGGCTGCACCAGCTGAAGACATCCTAGTTCCTTGAGAACGCAGTAGTCATAAAAGCAGTCTCACCTTGGGGAAGGAACAAACTCCTTCTTATCCCCCGCATCAACATAAAGATCCTCATTAGCACAAGCTACTCTGAGTCATCTGATACTCCCTCCAATCATTGTGCACACCCAATAAATAGTGGCTAGCTTGAGTGTCTCTGTCTCTGCCGCCTGTCGTGCATTAAACTGATCTCTTTCTTATTTCATTTTCGCTGTACTCCTTGTACCCAGTATTCCTCATCCAGGCAGCTGGGGATCTTGGCCAGGTCCCTGATACTAAGTCATGAAGTTGTCCGCGCTGGGCTTGAACTTGTGACCCTCCTGCCTCAGGCTCCCAAAGTGATGGGATTGCAGGTGTGTGCCGCTATTCACAGTTAGGGTGTCAGTCCTGAACATGTAAAGACTAAGGTTGACGGAAGTGGGGACTGACCTTGAACCCTGATGGTGATACTCCAAATCCTGTAATATAATTTCACTATGCTGTTTTATAATGTATATTTATTTAACTATACTAAATATCAAAAACACCAAATAAATCTACAATTCTATATAGTACATAACATGAAATGTACATGTACATATCATACAGGTATTCCTTGGTTAACAACCTACCTGGTCAATGACTTTTCACACTTATGTACCACATCAAGCTTAGGGTACGGGAATGTGAGTGGCAGTGTGACCTTACGGTGGCTTCTTCTACTTCAGCACTCTAACACACGTTCTATATACAATTCTTCCTTTAGCGAGCAATTCATTTCACAACCTACTCATAGTAACGTAACCTGCTTGTTAAAGGAGAATGTCTGGGCACACACATACTCCCACTACATAGCACTACAGAACTAACACTGGTCACTGTAGTACTGTTAAGCAATACTTACTACCTTCCTGATGGCTGTTTCATGTGTATGAAAACAAAGCTGTAATGGCTGACATTGTGGTCTGTATGATTTCACAAATGCTAAACTCTTTATGATTAGAGTTGTGATACTAAGCTAATGGTAGCCTCACTTTCTTGGGCACCCAAACTGTGGGAGAACCTGCTAGTAGAGACACTGGGAAAAGGGAATAATCCTTCAAGTTAAAAATACATGTGGGTGTGTTTCAGTGCATTCGGCCTCATTTTTCTACAGGCTTTCTACAGGGCTACCCAGGGGCACACTTAAAGAGTCACATGAGTAATAATAAGAACCTCTTGAACTCTCAACAGCATTCTTGGGTTTTCCTTGATGGGATTTTACAGTCAGACAACATGGCTAAACTATGTTACACCATGAAACTTTCTTTACTTTCAGGTTTCTGAGATTTATTTGCACTTATTTAATACACACATACAGGCTCCTTTTTAAATATAAAACTATTTCTGCTCATTTAAAAATTAAAATATAAAAACAAACCAAAGAAGGAGTGATTCTTAAACTCTCTCATCAAGGGGAGACATAATCGCCAACCTGGTGATGCACGGCCGCAGGGCTGAGGTCCTGTGGAGGTTTTCGAAATTTGCTCTGGAGGAAAACTCTTGGCACACACAGGCCTTCTTTTTTATTCACCGTCTCTCGGAACACATACTCGTTTACCACTTCTTCATATCCTGTGTCCACAAAGAGCTGGGCCAGGAATTCTATCAGAAAAGCAGGGTGGCAATGCTCAGATTTAGTAACTCCACATTTACTCTGCAGTGCTTAGGAGGGGGAGAGGGCTGAGGAGGACCTTTTCTTTTTTGGTAATGAAAATGTCAATGCTAAAATTTAAAGTTTCTTTTTAAACTGACATAACTACTTCTTATGGTCTTACACCCAAACAGAAACGTCGAATTAATTTAATCAGTAATAGTGAAAGGATAACCTGGAGTAGATCCAGATTGCTCTATTAATGTTACAAATACAAAAGTCTGATTAAAAAGCAATGAAATTCCAAACTGGATAAATTCAAAGCCTGCATGTGCTCAAATATTTTATATAAAGCACCGCATTTATCCTGAGGAAGGGGGAACTTCTGTGGCCAGAGTGGGAAAAAACATTACCTAGTGGTGACACATCCTCAGAGAATTTCACCTTAATAATATACCACTCCATATTAAATGAAACAAAAATACATGGTTATATAGCAGAGAATAAAGAGCACTATTCTGAAGGATGTGCTCTTACACACTTTGCAGACATTATCTGTCTTCTCAATTATTTATGACTGGTTTAATTAGATTTTAACCCATCAAATATTAAAATACCTTTTCAATTTTCACCTATTTTTATGATTTTGTGGTTTTAATGATAATCAGTGATTTTTAATTTTTAATACCTAAAAGAATATTTCAAGACATAAAAATATTTATAAAAGCAGATCAAGGAGGTAATTATGACCCAGATTACCAAACAGACTTAAAACCAATATTCAAGCCGGGTGTGGTGGCACACGCCTGTAATTCCAGCACTCAGGAGGCTGAGGCAGGAGGATCGTTGGAGTTCAAGACCAGCCTGGGCTACAAAGTGAGCTCAAGGCCAGCCTGAGCTGCATAGCAAGACCCTGTCTGAAAAAGACCAAAAGAAACCAAAAAACAACAACAAAAAAACCCCAATATTCAAAATACTGCAAAGACTTAAATACACCATTTTCTTAAAAATGGCATTTTCTCATAAAAAAGATCCAATCACTTTTATTGGAAAAGGCTCCTTGCCTCTGAGACTTGGGAAAGTAATCTCCAGGGATTATATGGCCCTGTTTACTTTTGATTGAACAAAGCAAAGTTTGTGTGCCCTCCCTGCTTTTCTCTCACAGTTCCCACAGGGCATCCAGACGGGAGGTCACCCCCAGGCTCACTAAATAGGCGCTGCCACCAGAGACCGCTACAAGCTCCGCACGGGCAAGGGCTGGGTCAGCGGCGCATGTGGCAGCGCTGGCCCCAGGAGCTCGTGCATGTGCGCTGTGTACAGCTGCAAGCCCTCCCGGACCAGCCATGCGGTTATAATGCAGTCAAGCAAACAGAAGTAAAAAGAACATTTCAAGGACAGGTTCCATTCATCTTACCCTCAGTAAAAAAATATGATCTGGTTCCATCTTGTCTAACATAAAAGTTTTCTCCAAGCTTGCTGCTGGCTTTAAACCTAAGCATGGTGTGATCATATAGTCCATAGTCACGGAATAAGACATTTTTCCCTGGTTTTAATACCTACAAGAAAAAAAAAAGCAGGCTGCATGTAACTTTTGGAACCCCATCAAATAAACTACAGTCTGTGTTATGAATTAAAATAACTTAGATTTGTGGTAATTACGACAGGGGCCAGGCCGAAACACCCACAACACGAAGGAAAAGGGCCTATTTGTGAAAGGTATATAAGATCTGACAGAGGACCACAATACTGGAGCGTGTTTTGAGCACCTTCTAGGGCATTCTAACATCGAGGGTCACACAATTAAAACACAAAAGATAATCAACAAAACATTTCTATCAAAGCATATTTTCCCAACATCTTGTAGCCATTTCCTAGTACTCACACTGTACTCAACTGTCTTTTTACAAGAATACATCATTTCGGCGTATTGATTCAGGCTGGTTTTTCTCACTTCTAAGTCTCGGCTCTGGTTTCACTGTACTACAGGCACAGATCACTCAACCCACTATGCTAGAAACTGAGCCATGCCTGGCCTTGCTAGCTTGCTATTTTCTCAACGGATTGCTGCCCAGTTTTGAAAAGGAGTGTGATTATCATCCTCATGTGGGATGAGGGACATGATAGTCAAACAGGTTAAGAGATGTGCTCATGATCACCCACGAGCTAGGAAGGACTCCTGCTTACAGCAAACTAAGTGTGGGGACAGACACTTTTGCTGGTCCTGGGGGGTAGGAAAGGGGTCATTCCATTCTCCTCAAACAGCAAGAGAGGCCTAGAGTGGAGGGATAGTTTTCCTCCCTATACTTCTCATGTTGTGCTGGATTTCTTGGTATGAGTGGATCATCAGGCCAGAGTGCAACAGCTGAGGGAGGGGACCAGTTCAGGACCAGGAGGTGGGTCCCACATGAAAGCCTTTCAGAGATAAGGCATCAGACAGTAGTGTCTCGAATAGCCATATGCTTTTCAGAACACAAAGTGGGCCATACAGTGACGCTTGCTTTTTATATGCAAAGTCTTATCAGTACCAGCACCTTTCACATGTTGTCAGTAAACAAAGAGCCTCTTAGATAAAAGCATTCTTACCTTGAAGAAAGGCTAAGTTTTCAAATGTTAATAAGTAAGAAGGAAAAATTCTGAAAAAGTTCACATGGGACTTATTCTTCACTGCAGAAGGAAGGAAAGGCTGCATGGGACAGAGGAAAGAACACTCACTCAGGACTCTGGAAGTCACGATTCAAACCCCAGTTCTTTCCATTCACTAGCCTCAGAATGTTTTCTTATCTGTAAAATAATAATGATGATATTGATGCCTCCTTTGACCCTGACACTGCATAGTTACCCAGGCAGTCCCCCTATCACTTTATTTCATTCAACAGTGACAAGAAATGGGTACGCTAGGTACTGTTATACCCATCACAATAAACACTTCCTTGCCTGATGTCTCAAGGCAAGTCAAGGACATACAGAAGATCAAAATTCAGGTCTTCAGATGACAAAGTTGGTATACTCTGCTATTCTATTTAAAAAAAAAACAATAAACCTAAAACTCAAAAGCCAAAACAAAACAAAACAAAACAAAACAAAACAAAACAAAACCAAAAAAACCACAATGAGGGAAACCAGGCATGGTGATGCACGCCTGTTAATCCCAGCTACTTGGGAGGGTGAAATAGGAGGATCAATAGTTCTAGGCCAGCATGGGCTACTTAGCAAGACACTATCTCAAAGGGCTGTGGATGTAGTTCAGTGGTAGAGTGTCCCTGAGTTTCATCCCCAGTGTTGAAAAAAAAGAAACTTTAACTTTTTTTTGGAGACAGGGTCCGACCATGTAGCCTAGGCTGACCTCAAATTTGCAGCAGTTCTGTCTCAGCCCCCAAGTGTTGGGATTACCAGATGTGCTGCCGTGTCTGGCTTGGAAATTTAAGGTTTAACAGCTTGGAGTAATAAGATGCATATAAAGGCAGCTTATTATTGTGATTGTTCAGGTCAGGATTCAGAGCTGTCCACAGGGGTCTGTCTCATCAACAGGAGCTGCAAGCTGCTTTTTCCTCCAGTAATCTCCTGACTAAGCACAAGATTTGAAATGAATGAACCAGTCGCTGTGACGGTTCAGAAGGTAAAGCAGACTGCGGCTGAAAACTCATTCCAGATCAGCTGGAAAAAAATTTCAACTGGAGAAAAAAAAATAGGAAGGGTACTGAAACGCAATGTGTTACTGAAGAAGTGCAACTTGGGAAAGCTCAAGTCAATTTTTTCTGTTTTAATGTAAAATTTTCTACCTACTAAAATATATGTAATGTACATGTTTATACGACACGAGGTTCGGGAATGGTGAAAATGATTTATGAGGACAGATCTATAAAACATGGGTTACCTTTGAGTTGATTTTTCCCAACCTAAGGTCATATTCTCATCTGAGTTTTAAGCTTTTGTCCTTTTTATCCAAGTCTTTAATTCACCTAAGAATGATTTTTATATAAGCTGTGAAGTGGGGATCCAATTTTGCTTTTTGCCACTGAATGAATGAAACGGCAACATTTGTTGAGCAGTGTTTCCTCTTCTAGTGATCAAAGCCACATTTAGAGTGTATCAGATCTCTGCATATTAGAAATATGGATCTATTTCTCAGCTCTGTGTTACGTTCCACTTCTCATGTCTATCCTTCTAACACCATTCTGTCCCTTTTTGCTTTATGGATTGATTATTACAATTAATTACATCCTGTCTGACAAAAGTTATAGTCCTGTTGTCTCTGGCAGTGGGGCATTCATACCACATTTTATTTTTTGTTATGATGAATAATGGACAAATTACCATCAAAATAAGTCATGCCAATCTGAGCATAAAAAGTAACTTTTACTTTTAGTCTTTTTGAGACAGGGCCTCACTCCGTAGTTCAGGCTGGCCTAGAACTCACTTTGTAGCCCAGGCTGGCCTTGCAGTTGCAGCTATCCTCCTGCCTCAGCTTCCTGAGTACTGGGATTACAGGCATGCACCACCACACCCAGCAAGAAGTACATTTTATATGGTGGAAGAAACACCTAAAGTTCTATACACATTATCAAAATAAGTCTCAATATCAAAGGAAGAATGTGAAAGCTTATAAACTTGATATAATCTGTAATTATGATGGGATATACACAGATATCAAGATAGCACCTGTTAACAAGTTTAGAGTTGAATTCTTTCTAGAAACACATGTACAGAAATCTCTGTAATATGTACACCATAGTTGAAAATAAAAATCATTTTAAAATGCTATGTTCTATGTTACAAATGAAAGATGGAATGCACACATGTATGCAAGCGCACACATACACACACACACGCACACACACACAGTCTGAGCTTACCATAGATAGTGGGAAAATCCCAACAATTAGCAAAAATTCATTTTTAATGGCCCATTAACCCCAATTACTAAACAAGTACATATATATTAAGCTTACTAGTACACTGGAAATCTATTTCAACTTCTCTATGGCTCTAACATGGTGCAAAATAAAGGGGAATATAGTATCTGATTTAAAATGACACATTTGTTAACCTGATACTATTATTAAGATTATATAAAAATACAGAATTATGTTACCTCAACATTTACAGGTGTTTTCAAAAGTGAACATTAGAAAAACTGTACATAATCCAGAAATATACTTAAGAAGGAACTACTAATGAACACACTACATTTATTCTTTGGGACATCTCTTTTAGGTAGTTATTTTCTGGATCATTCTACAAAGAACAAATCTACATCAAGCTTTTCATGTTACTTATATAGGTATGTACGATATGAAGAATTTTTATAGGATTTTGAAATGTGTGTTACAACTGAAAACATTTTTTTTACATTCACAGGGATGTTACCCAATGTGTTTTTGAGAGAGAGGGTCTCGCTATTAGTTTAGGCTGACCTCAAACTCACAGCAATCCTCCTGCCTCAGCCTCCCAAATCCTTTGACTACAGGTGTGCGCCACCATGCCCAGCAATGAATTCTTAAATATAGGCCAACTGAAGACTTTTGTCAGCTGGGCATGGTGGCTTATACCTGTAATCCCAGTACTCGTGAGGCTTAGGGAGGTGTACCACTGTGAGTTCAAGGCCACCCTGGGTTACACAGTAAGTTTAAGGCCAGCCTGAACTACATAGCAAGACCTCGTCTCCAAAAAAATAAAGACTTTTATACATCGCTTCTCTTTAAGGTTCCTCACTTGTGTTAATTTACATATATGAATGAAGCCAAAATGAAATGAAGCCAAATATGAATCTGAGTGAAACCAAAATGTCCTACAAAATGTACAATGATGCGAATTGTCTCCACTATGCAAATGGCTGCAAAAAAGGTCATATGATAATGAAAGCTTCCCCATTCCGTACTTAAAGCTACATGCTGTGTGAGTTCATGTTTTCTGAGCTTATGATTATCCCTGAAAGCTTTTTCCACATTGCTTACGTATATGGAGTTTCTCTTCAGCATGAGCTCATTTTTATGCAAACAGCTAGAAGCAAAGGCTTTCCTACAGTGCTTACACACATAGGATTTCTTCCCACTGTGAATTATTTCATGTCTATGAAGCATACTGCTAACTGTGAAGGATTTCCCACACGGCTGACACACACAAGGTTTCTCCACACTGTTCTTTCATGTCTATAAATGTATTTGTTATCAGTAAAGGGATTCCCACATTGCTTATGTACATACATAGGGTTTGCCTCCAGTGTGAGTTCTTTCAGGTATATGAAAATAACTGGAAGTGAAAGCTTTCTTACACTGATTACACACATAGGATTTCTTCCCACTGTGATTTCATGTCTACGAAGTGTACTGCTATCTGTGAAGGATTTCCCACACTGTTGACATATACAAGGTTTCTCCACACTGAGTGTTTTCATGTCTATAAATGCATTTGCTACCAGTAAAGGGCTTCCTACACTGTTTACGCACATAGGGCTTCTGTCCAGTGTGAATTCTTTCATGTGCACGAAGATAACTGTGTCTACGGCACACTTTCCCACACTGCTTACATGAAAAGGGTTTTTCTCCACTGTCTTTTC